CCACTCTGGAGCATATGTTATAGGAATGTAGAGGGATTAGTACTCATAACAAGTATGCGGCCTCTGCTGACAGCCTTCGCGCGCGCTGGGAGGCCGCAATGCTCAGTTCCGTCCTCGAAGACCAAATGTGGGCCATCCAGCGGGCCGAGGAAGCCGCCAGGATTCAAGGACTCCTGGCCGTAACCTAGGCGGGGCCAATCGCCCACCCCATCTACTCGCCGGACTCTGAATAAAGTTCTTTCCTCCTCCTCCTCCTCGAGTAATTATCGCACCCCAGAAAACTGCCGCAATAATGTCGTCTGCTCGTTCCAGCCACTGATGATGATAGCGCACGCCATTTGGCGCCATCTCTTAAGCGTCAAGCATACTATTGCACGCAAATTCAATCCAATCCAAGCCAAGCTGAAGTGGCCAGTGCGCGTTGCGGCGCGTTTTGTATGCTGTGTCGGTAATCTTGGCATATTATGGTGTGATACTGAAGCTACACGGCTGCTTCAAGTTGCAAGTGATAGATGACAACGGCACTAAACGACGGCAACAGGGCCGCCGGTAGGCCCTTCATAGTCTACGAGTTTTGTGATCGCTACTGGTGACGGCAGCTGAAAGCCACCAAGACGCGTTGGGCCTGCCGTGGGCCTAAAACTGGGATTTATGGTAAACTTTATTTCGTCAGAAGGAAACTGCTGACGATTCTGCTAAATAGTCATAAGCCCAATACTGATGTCCTACGCTTACCTTTTGAGGGCTCCTTTTGGGCGACGAACGCTACCATTACTCTCGCAACGCCCACAAGCTTTGCGTATGGTATTCTAATTCTCGACTATTTGCTTGCACTTTTTGTGTCTCAAATAAATCTTGCCTTGTGTTGAACCTCTACTTTTATTGTTGAGGTAACTCTTAATTAGTACTTCTCAAAGCTTGCTGTTAGTTGCTGGTGTGAGAATACCGATTTGCGGCCACTTCGTTTTTTTTTTTTCGCTCGGTACGCTCTCGTGAAAAGTTCTTCCCGCGTAATTCTCGCACCCCCCAACTTAGCATCGCTTTTTCTGCAAAAAAAGTGCGAGGATTATGCGAGTAAATACGGTACATTATTTGGAACACGAATATAGAGCTAAGGTCAATGAAGGAACAACATGGGGAATATAATCACAGTGCACAAAATATTACTAAATAAGTCACTTGCACTTACAAATTTATTACAATTGTAAAGCTTTGAGTATCAGACTTCTAATTAGCTGCCCCCTCCCCCTGGACGGAATCTTCTATCCGCCTTTGAAAATTGTCATATGAGAGGAAATCAGGTTGTTGGCCAAATCAAGCTATTGGCTTGATTGAATTTTTAAGTTGGTGTCACTTTTTATCTCTCGATCAATTATTGCTTTGACTTTCTCAAAGGTTCACCCTGCAAGTGAATTCACCATAGAGGCAGCCGTTCAAGAATGGTTGCATCATGCCCAGCAATGCACAGGAATGCAGCAAGAGGTAATAAAGCTGCTATGCATTTTGCACTAAGCTTAAAGGAACTGACAGCTAGTTTCTGCAGTGCCCAGTTTTTTTCGGTTGCAATCGAAGCTCGTTGGTCTCAGTATCCTGTCAGTGTGATGTAAATGGAAAGCATTGTAAAAAATTTTGTATCTGCTGTGTGGATTAGTTTGTGCTTGGAAAACGAGCTAGAAACAGTGGTGTGTGAGCATGATAAGTCATATGCCAGCATTTGTGTAAGTTATTAGGCTATATCAGTAGTTCTGCTCATCCAGGGGAGGCACCTATTTATGGTAAAACTAGTATACAGCTTTTCTAATCTCACACAAAGACTACAGTATACGTAATCCCTCTTAAGTTTGCCTACAAAAGCACACGAGTGCATCTCCATGCAATCTCGGACACCACTGTTCACAGCAGGTGGGCTGCTCTACTGTTGCCATATCGGCAGCTTTTCTTCCTTGATTATTTTATCTCATTATGCTATCGAATAAATAAACTGCACATGGCTGTGTGGCATAAAGACCACAGTTTTAAAGAACAAGTATAATGCATTAAATGACAAAAAATTGCATATATATCTCAATTTTTTTTCACATACTACCAAGCCATCCCCGCATAAGCTGTACATGCAATTTTTTTAAATTTTATGTTGCACTTTATACTTCCTACTTAAATCCCAAGCGGCATCATCAAAATAGTCACGAAAATTAGTTTTCATTTCCACTAGAATCTTGTGACATGTGATGTATCGTTGATCCCTTTATTGGTTTTGTTTTTCATCACACTTGGACGTTAAGTTGCCTCTGAGAAATTCTCACCAAGATGAATGATATCCGATAGCTTTATGACACAATGTGGCAGACAATTACACATACGCTGGAAACTCAAGTTTGTGTCCAGTGTAGCTTTTATCTGCTGCACTGTTTTATGAGAACATCACTTCCTTTTGTAGTAGGATGTTTCGAAACTGACATTTACAATGAAGCGCAAATTAGTGAAATGTATTTGTATGTATTGATACTCGTAAGACCGGAGGGCATTTCAAAGTGCTTTTTAGGTTCTAGAACTAGCTATACTTACATATGCTGAAATGAGTAACATGGTTATTGCTAATGTATGCATTAGTCATATGCAATTGCTGTGTTTTTGAAGTAGGCATCATCTTTCTCAATTCTTCGGTAAGTTCAGGAGTGGAGCATCACAATTTCAGCCAAGCATTTTTTTCTCAGGGTAATATAGAGTATCAGTACTGCTGGTGTGCTCTTGCTTGGAATGTCTTATCGTACTTCTTTTCACTGTTTCTGGGTAGCTTATATTGATTCTCTTTTTTCTTGTATTCTTAGGATCAATTGGTTGTGATGAGTAGCCATGGTGCATTATGAAGCTTTCAAGGAAACCTTCTTTTCAAGAGGAACTTCGTTGAAGATTTTAGTGCAGCAATTTTTATTCACATCAATTGAAGCCTTCAAGGCGAACTTTAACAAAGACCTTTGTATTGTAATTTTTCATTCACATAACTTTAGGCTTTCAAGGAAAACTTCGTTGAGGAATTTTTCATTCACATCACTTAAAGCGTTCAAAGTGAACTTCGTTGAACTTTTGTACATTCTCATAGCTTTGAAACTTTCAAGGGGAACTTTGTTGAGGATTTTTGGTCAGCAATTTTTTATTCACATCAATTCGAAGCGTTCAAGGCGAACTTTATTTTAGACTGTTGTACAGTAATTTTTATTCACATAACTTTAAAGCTTTTGAGGGGAACTTTGTTGTTAAGCAATTTTTCATTCACATCACTTCAAAGCATTCAAAGTGAACTTTATTGAACGTCTGTACATTCTCATTACTTTGAAACTTTCAGGGGGAACTTCGTTGAAGATTTTCAAGCAGCAATTTTTTATTCACATCTCTTCGAAGCGTTCAAGGCGAACTTCATTGAATAGTTTTGTACAATAATTTTTTATTCTCGTACCTTCACTTACATTCAAAGACCGATTTAATTTCATGTTCAATAAATGTGTTTGAAAACAATGTGCTGTCTGCTGCAATAAATCTCTAAGGTTTTAAGGACCCAGCATAAACATGCAGGTTAGACGGCAGCTTGTGCTTGATGATATTGTCAGGCTGTTTGGGCTTTCTTTACCAAATATTGCTAACATTTTGGGAATGAGAACTTTTTTTCTATGCAAATGCTCAGGCTTGCTTCGTGTATAGTTTTGTGTGCCAGAGACCTGCGCTCCCACTGCAGTCTGGCTCTTAGCTGACACTTATAGAAAGCATCAACGCCGTAAGGCTGGCCTTATTAATTAAGTTTGATGTCTGACAGCAATTTGGCCAGCTTCACGTCTTTGATGCTTTACCGCATGTAGTTGGTGGGTTAGACCTGCAGTCCCATGGCAGTCTTGCTCATTGCTGCTCGGCTGTACTTTATATTGTTCGATACCCACTACAAAGTACAGCCGAGCAGCTATGAGCAAGACTGCCATGGGACTGCATGTCTAAAACACCAACTACATGCGGTAAGTGTGAACAGCGCATGAGAAAAGCTTTTATTTAATAAATGGCAATGTCTATGTATATCTATTAAATGTCCATTCAGCCTCCATGTGCAACGTACCTGCAACCTTACTCAGATGAGCATTTTATTATTGCGTGTACCTATCTAATCTTCGTAATTTGGATTTCTATGGATATCTAAGAGACGTTTACAATGTCCATGAGAAACATACCATGGATGTCAATACAATTTTTGTGATTCACTGGGGTATACTGGTGCCCTCTTCTGACGGGGAAGGTACTAGAATCTTAAAAAAATGTTAATATAATCTTAGTAGACAAGAAAGGAAATGACAAGAACTTGAAGAATTACAGAATGGTCAGCTTCCTCTCCGTCATACACAAGCTATTTACAAAGGTAATTGCTAATAAAATTAAAACAAGGTTAGATTTCAATCAACCAAAGAAACAAGCTGGATTTCGAACTGGCTACTCAGCTCAACATTCGGCCACATTCATACTATCGATCAGGTAATAGAGAAATGCTCAGAATACAGGCAACCACATCGAAATCTATAAAATCAACTGTAATTAGACTCTTAAATATTTACAAACCTGTGTCAATACTAATCACATCTTAGAATGCCACCAGATTGCGCTCATTGCGGCATGTGACAAATCTTGTCTCAAACAAGCACTTCGCTTTTATCTATGGGGTTTAAGGCACGCAAAGAGAAGCGCTTGGTTGAGATAACAGTTGCATGGTCAAAGTGCCTTTTAAGCAAGAGCTTAGTTAAAAACACTGGGCGTGCAAACATGGACAGAAAAGAAAAGTCACCACAAATGGCATTTGTGGTGTCTCCTTTCTTGCGTCCTTGTTCGCACGCCCTGCCTTTCTAGCTTCAATACCTAAGAAGTAGGTCAGCTTGTCATTCCAAGAGCCTAGTGCACCTTCTTAATTTATGTCATGTGTAGGCATCAGGTTAGACTTTGTCGGGTTTACCAAAACAAAACGCAATACATGCAGCAAAAATAGTTTATTTTACCCTCAAGGAAAATTATAAAGAACGATAATACTACTGCAAATTAATTGAACGATGTAGAAAAGAACTTGTAGCTGATTTAGTAGTTACTTTTATACCTTCCATCGTCCAAGGAACATGTGATAATGTCACCTGTTTTTAGGATGCTTGTCACAAAAGAAAATATAGAGAAAATTAGCGAGCATTTAAGAACAAATATAAAATGTACACCAAATTATCTGAAATTATCCAGGCACAAATTCTGGAGCAGCCACATCTACTCATAAATTATCACAGAAGAGCTCTTCTCTGTTTTGTCAGTTGGCTTTCTGCACGCTACATAGAAAGTAACAGCGGCTCGTGGAAGATCTTCAACTGCCCTCAATGCTTTTCAGGAACCAGTCGGGCAAGCTGTACAGCTTCCCGGGATCCACCAGACGCTTGCAAGTTATCTGGTAGGATGACGGCTCGTACGTGAAAAGATACACAGTCCTGCAAGTCAGAAAACATGAAAGTCAGCTTGGAGGCTATGTGTTTTTCCTGCCCAAATGAAAACTTTGCCCAAATGAAAACTTTTGGACTCACAGATATAGGATTGTATATATGTAATGAGCTACAGTCGAATCTCATTGATTCTAACATGCTTAATTCGAACTTCCAGATAATTCGAACACACGATGAGGTCCTGTTAAAGCTATGTGTATTCCAATGGGTGAAAACGCTCGATAATTTGAATGCTCAAGCACTTTCGACGATTAATTCAAACATACCGCACTCCCAAAATGCTCTCAGCAACCCGCCCAATCCCACCGTGGCCCCTGCGACACCTCAACACTGCCTGCGAAGGAAATGAAAAGGAAAGAAAAGGCTGCAGTAGAATGTTCGCTCTCTCTCAAATGCCGATCGATGACGCACCCATGTCACGCTTCTCCTTTTTCCGTCCCTGCCCCGTAAAGACCCTCCTCCTTCCAGTGCCGTGTGCGAAGAGAGAGGAAAAAAAAAAAAGAAAGCCGTCGCTGGGCGAATGAATGTGTGTTTAAAGAAAAGGAAAAAGGCACTATCTTTTGCAGCCTTCGCCCCTTGCGGGAGCCTGGCTCCGTGCCTCGAGGGGGGGGGGCTCTCACGCGCGGGTGCCAGGCTTCTTCCTTTTTTCTTCTCTGCCACGTAACTGTGCTTTTTTTTACTGACAGGCGCGAAGAGAGCAAAAAATAAAAAGCTGCCGTGGAGCATTGGTTTTCTCTCAAATACCGGTCTGCTTCTCACCGCATGGAGACGCTTCTCGTTTCTCGTCACGTGCTGGCTATGCTGCGGCTGGGTAGGCTCCGCTACACAGCAGCAGGCGTTCTTGTTGTCGTCTTTAGAAAGTGTTGGCGCTCGACATTTTCGCGCGCAGCTTTTCTTGCCAGAAGAATGCTGAAGTGTAGGTAGGAATGCTTCGCAAGCTGCGTGCGAAATTGGTTGACTCACTGCGAGGCAATTGTGTGCAGATGCACCTGACCGATTACTTCAATTATTAACGGATGTCCTGTGATTTGTGAATAAATGTAAATCTTCTGAAACTTCTCCCTCAAGTGTTAGCTCAAAGCACATGCGCCACTCCATGGAGAGCCCTCCATTTATTTAGCTTTCATTAATTCGAACTTCTTTAATTCGAACCAACTTTTGGGCCCCTTCGAGTTTGAATTATCGAGATTCGACTGTATTTTATTTTTTAATTCTTTATTTGTAACAATCAAGTGAAAAGGGCTAGCCATCGCCACGTAGTAGTGATAGGAACTCTCTTATTTATTTATTTTTTCGATAAAAAATTAAAGTTGGTGACGGTAACGTAACAAAGCCACACTGAATCATATTTACAGGGTCAGCCTAAGATGGAGGCCCTTCCGTCTGTTACACGAGGTTGAATGACACCTGATCAGGTGAAGCATTGTAGCAATAAGGATGGTGCACACAAGTTGCAAGAAATGCTTAGCGAAATACCATTGAAAGGTATCTTCAAGGCTTCAAGATATATCAGATAATTTAGCTAGAAAAAAAGCACTGAGTATAATATCTTAAAGGCAAAAGCTCGTCAAATCTTCATCAGAAATAACGGCTCACGGCTCATGAGTATGAAATTATCAGCTCTCCGCGCGTTCAGCCACCACGGTTTCCTGAATCTTGAAAGTGTCACAGTGCCTACTAAACATGACGAGTTCTTACTGCTGCTACCACGTGGCTCTCTCGTTACCCGCTGACGCACAACCTGTAGATGCGGTGCACAATGGCTTAGTCAGTGAAACAAAATGCATGGAAAATTTGCTTGCCTAGACAAATAAATTAATTACTAATGGGGCTAACACGAAAAGGCTACCTTCGATCTGGCCGCTCGTGGAACCCTAAGATCACCTCAAGTGAGGCACTAAGTCGAGCGAGGTGGTTTACATTCATTGTTTAAATGCTTATTAGTGCACTTTTTACCCAGACGAAGACGGGTAAAAGACAGCACGCGCGCAGCATTCATGATAATTACCACAGTTGTAAGCCTTTAAGAATCAATTCATTGGCACGAAGTGACTACTGATGGTGAAGCGAAGCAGGGTCGTAAGGTCCATAATGTTTACGTTGATGTCCCCGACTGGACAGACAGATGGACGTACAGAAAATAGTCATAGAATCGCTGCCTGACAATGACTGATAAGGGTTGTCAGTGTGCATATGCTGCACTGAATGCAGCCTGCTAATTTTAACCAAATAAGTAAATGAACATGACCACAGCATAAAGAACTAACCTCCCGTCGTCACCTTCAACGTGCTGCCTAATGAAGTTAAGCGCGTCATCCAGGAACTGCATGCACACATCTTCTGACCACAGTCCCTGCAACAGAAAAAGAAGAAACAGCAGAATTCTATAAAACATCTCGAAAACAAAGCACCAATACTTGTTCATTAAGCTAATAACAAGAATGAGGAATCTAATACTTTTGCAATTGTGTAGGCAAATTGTTTTAGTTGCTAGCATTAAATACCCTAATTATTAGAAATTGTTCTGCCGTCAGTACATGTCGTTCAAAAGGTACAGTTGTGACAATCTCAGGTTAACGTAATGTATATAACAGTAGCAGAATATTCTTTGACCTCTTATGAGGCAAAGTGAAAACACAGTTGAAAAAACGATGGCCCCGAATAAGCCATGGTAAGCAAAACGCATGTTGCATGGCAAGAAGTGTACACATTGTTGTTTGTTTTGCTTTCCTGCTGACGGACAGCACAAAGGAGCGAAAAAAACAGAAATCGAGAGTTAAGCGAAGGAGTTTGTGTGTGTGTTTAGGACACGTCATTTACGACATCACTTTAGGAGATATATACCACAAAACTGTTTCTATTTTTCATATTTGGTGCTTGCCATTTCACCATCTAGTTCAGTTAACCTTACAAAGTATATGGGTACTGATAAGTCGGCGCCATTTAGTTTACTGATTTAAACGAGAAAATGGCATCGTCCATGGATGCTGAATGCAGACTGGCGTCCGTGTGCCTAAAACTGACAAAGCATTAAGCAGAGTTCATTTAGGCTCAAGGTGAGAAAAATTTGGCAGTGTTATCACAGGTCGGCATGCGCACTCAAGGGTCGACTGACAAAACATTTCGAATTGTGCTGTTTCTTTAAGGGGCGAAGCTCCTTAAGGCGTGGGTCATGCATCTCCTCTATGTAGTAGCCACCTCTCGTTTTAGTTCATGGAATGTCTGCCAGATGGCAGTACTTGTATATCATGAATATATGATGAAAATATGCGAAATCGTGGTACTTAGAGTGTTCACTAGATGGACGGATGAACAGACATACAGAACGATGGATATGCAGTCAGACAGGTGGCAGAACAGACAAACAGACAGAAGACAGACAGAAAGACGGACAGATGCATGAATGCTACCAGCGAATGATTCATGGTTTACCGATAAAACCTTTGGAGCCTTTGCCCCGCTCATCATCATTCATTCTGTAGATATGCTGTGCTTTTTTTATTTAGACTAAGGTTTGAGCCGCAAGTCTCAGTGATTTCAGACGAATGATATTTTTGTGAATCAGTCTGAGTGAGCTCCGTTTAGTAAAGTTTTGTATCGAAATGGGCACTATTGTATGAAATATATATTTAGATTGAGTCCAAGGAAAGTCCACTTTGCTTGCCAACCTAAGGGTGTTACACTCTTTTACCATAACAAAAAAAGGTTAAGATGCACATCGACAATCCATAAGCACAAAACTGGCAAGCTCGATCCCCTGCGTGGTGGCATCTTTTTTTGGGGGGCAGCATGGTCTACGCACGTAGATGCTTCACCAAGCTCTGCTGCAGCTGTTTCACACTCGTTTTCTGGGTGTGTCTTGAAATTCCAGAAGTGCGTGCAAGTCTCGTTACAAGAAGAGCTAACATTTCTACTTAGGTATGAAGCCTTCAAAGTTAAATCTCTGTAAGGCACGGTAATGCAATGCTAAGATGTATTAAGTTAATTATGGCGTGCTAGAACACAGGACTGCTACAAGATGCTGAGTTCTTCACGGCCAAGAGCTTCCGACAAAGATGCACGGCTCAAACAAAAAGTACTGGTAACAACACGGGTATATTTGTCAGTCATATTTATTGTTAGTTAACCTAGCAATTTCTGGCTAAGATCTGCTGGAAGTCGATTCCTCGCCATTTAATATGAACACTAGCTATGGTTTTTCTTTTCCACGAAGGTGAATATTCGCCTAGCCACAAACAGCCGTGTTTAGCCACTAACAGCGGTGGAGCCACATTTGAGTGGAGGTTATTTAAAATAAATACAAAAAGTCGCTGCCCCTTCCCCCGAGAAAAAAATTCAGAAACGAAGCGCTCATTGTGATAGGAAGTGCCCAAAGTGATAGAGCAAGGTAACAAACAATGCTGTGCCAGTTTAAATTGCTGTAATCACCCACTCAATGACTTAACAAGAGTGGTGTAGCAAGCACATCAGTCATGTAGAGACTTTTCGAGATGCTAGCAAAAGGTCGTCAATTTCAAGATTGCCATGTCGTAGAGGCATACATAATTTCAGTTTCTGCATGTTTTGAAGGTTTAGTGTACACAAAGCATGCCTTACTACCAGCTCTTCATGCAGCAATGATTAACACAAAAAGAACTCAGCCAATAGAAGAGCAAATCTTCATTTCAAGGAATCAGGCAACGTCACTGATTATGATGGCGTTGAGTGGAAGCGCTAATGTAGTTTGAAGAAATTCTTGGTAGAAAATGATGCCTGTAGGTCAAGAAATTTAAGTTGTTTATAAACTGGCAATGCTTTTACAACCCTTAATATTTATTTTGAGTGCTGCCGATGCACCGCAAAAGTGCTAGAAAACGTCCTGCTCTTTTAATGACAGCATTTCTTAACAAGCGTGGCCGAATTTTCTCAGGCACAGACGCCAAGCAACGCTTGCAGACATACACGTCTGAAGTGATATTGGCTTACCTTAGCCTTGCCTGGCATTTTGCTCACATCAAACTCTTGGATGTGCCTGACAATGCCATTGTCATCTCGAAAACCACACAATCCCCTTGGGACGCCTCCAATACGTGACTTGGCCCACCAGGAGAGCAGCTTGTGCCTACACAACAAGTATGAAAATAAACAGTCCAGTTTATTGACGGTTACATGTACTATTTATTTCTCACGGTATACAGGCTAGTATAGATGTTAACTAAACAAAACATCACCAGAAATGAAATTAAGGATTCACTGCCAAACTACCAGAATACGAACTCAATTGATCGATAATGACGGAATGTTTACCGATTACGTGCAGTTTCAGCACATGATGCACAAAAAGTGCTTGGGGAAGTGGAAGCTAGGTCAGAGGTGGACATCAAGCATTCTGTAGTTTATCATATCAAGTGGAATCTCCCACGTACTCCCCGCAAAATAGCGTTATGTATTTATCTATTTCTCACACTCCATAGATGCAGTAGTATCTGCCAGAATTGATTAGGTTTCCTCTAGATGCTGGTATTTTTTCAAGTCTCTGGTAACACACAGCTGCCTGAGACCTATGAAACACGCTCGTGAAATCATAGGCGTGCGCTAGTGTTAGTGTATTCGAGCTCGTGACTGAGCCCGTTATGGCCCCCACACATATGAACTTCCATGCTTTTTTGTTCTGGAATGAACTACACCACAGTAATGATAATGGCAGGAGATCCTATTCTTTGTGTCTACGATGCCTGGTGGCAGCACTCGTGCATTGTCCTTCGTGTTTTCTGGTGTACTCAACGCTTGAGCCTTTAGTTTTGTAGCGCTGCCGAGTAGTATCTCGAAAGAAACACGTATAAAAGCATGAAATTGAGATCTGCTGTGCCAGAGTTGAGCTGCTCATATGAAAACTGTCTTTTTCTATGTAGTCATTGAAATATTTTTTAATAGATACCATGACAGTCAATTCAGCCTTTTTTAGAAAATTCATGCCATACTATTTTACCAACGTAAATCTTAGTACAAACATGAACTATGGAGTTCGTGCATCTTATTTTTTTAAACACGCCTTCTGAATATTTGAAAGTAAAATACGAGATTAGTCCTCGGCCACATCTGTTTGAGAGACAACTAGGGGGCCACTCACAGTTGCTGCTGCTACTAAATGAGAGTGACACGCAGTCATATTAATAAAATTGGAAGTCACATCCGCTTTCGCAGGAATACAGTTGTATTCTCACGAGTCAACAGCCGAACAAACGCGTCTTGCACCATTCAGCAGCTCTCTCATGCTCGCACAGTTCTTTGATTCGTAGCCATCTACGTCAGCATAATCATTTCTAATCAAAGTGGACGATTGGGCCAGTTGGTGATCCATGATTGGTGGATACCACCGAGTAGAGCACACAGACAAATAACAGATAGGGACAAGCGCAGACCATCAACTTAAGGCTTATTTTTCTCATACTACATATATGAGGCGAAAACAGTAAGAGGAAAAGAAAAACAAGAACAGTTAATCATTAACAAACAACAAAATTTATACACCCGCGGAATAACCCAGGTGAAAATTTCCACCTTGCTTTCTGCTGTAACCACATATATTTCAACCATTTCTTGCCGAGCCAGTGTCCATCTTTAGTTTTATTTCCGCACTAAGTTTCACAGGTAGTAATAATAAGAGTAATAATAGTAATAATATATAGGCAGTTAATAATAATAGGCAGGATAGTAATAACAATAGGCAGTTACAGTGATGGAAGCGACAGTTTGCTTTTTTGGAGCAGATTATGGAGCACAAAAAAAGGTGCTTTGAAGCAGGCTGAAGTGTCTTCGGATCCGAAAAAGATGCTATAGCTTAGAGTTGCTATTGGTATTTTCAAAGCACATGCATGTTCCTAACAACTCCTGAAGTCTAAAACATCACATAAGCATCAATTCAATGCTTATATTTATTATTAAGTGTTTCGTATACTAGTATGCAGCTAGTATACAAGCAGTATGTTGGCATAAATCAAGGGCAGGACATTTTTTATTTTTTTTTATTTACAAAATACTGCAGGCCCATTTAAGGGCCCCAGCAGGAGGGGCAAGATCATAACATTGCACACAGGTGTAAAACAGCAAGAACAATAAAAAGACACATCATATACAAAAGATACTAAAACATAGGTCATGGTTAAATAGGTCAAGTGCCTCTACAGAGCCGGTTAACTATTGAGGTAGGCAGTTTCATTCGTTTATGGTTCGAGAAAAGAACGAGTATTTGAAAATGTTTGTTCTAGCAAAATACGGTGTTAATGAATGAGTTTGCAGATACCAGTTTTGTCTTGTCGTAAACGGTCAGATATAAATCACGGTTTACTGACAGCTTGTTGTTATTTAAAAGAAAAAGAAATTTGAGCCTGTAAATTTGACGACGCTTTTCTAGTGTGGGTATACTGTTTTCTTTCATAAGGTTTGTGGGGGAATCAGTTCTTCGGTACTTGGAGTAAATGAAACGGACCGCTTTGCGTTGGATTAGTTCGAGAGCCTCAATGTTTCTTTTTGTGTATGGGTCCCAGATGATTGAGGCATATTCCAATGAGGGACGTATAACAGTCAAATAAGTTAGTTTTTTTACAGTAGAAGGAGCATGATTAAGTTTGTGTCTCAAAAGACCAAGTTTACGGAAAGACGACACGCAAATATTAGAGATGTGCTTATTCCAGCTGAGGGCGCTGGTTAGAGTGGCACCAAGGTACTTATACTCAACAACCTCAGCTAGTGTCTGGGTGCCGGATTTCTATGTAAATGGCAAAATATTTTTTTTGTTGGTTACACGCATAAACACGGTTTTGTCTGTGTTTAACCTCATCTCCCATTGCTCGCACCATGCAGAGATATTTCGGAGGTTAGTGTTTAGCAAGACCTGGTTGTCATAAGAAGTTATTTCATTGAACAGCACACAATCATCAGTAAACAGTCTGATCTGGACCGGCAAGGAAACAGTATCAACAACGTCATTAATATAAATTAAAAATATCAAAGGCCCAAGTACACTCACTTGGGGAACACCAGAAGTTACAGGGAGGGGGTCAGAGCAAATACCGGAAATGCTTACAAACTGAACGTGGTCAGACAAATAGGAAGAAATCAGGGTAATTATAGGTTCTGGAAGGCCAATAAATTCCAGTTTTTTAATAAGCTTATCATGAGAAACAAGATCGAATGCTTTCATGAAACCCAAAAAGGTGACATCCACTTGACCTGCCTTATCTAAAATTTGTGAATAACTGTGCACAACAGGAATTAACTTCCTTTCTGTGGAAAACCTTTTCCTGAAACCATGCTGAACATCCGAAAGTATGTTCTTTTCATTAAGAAATGTTATAATAAATTTAGCTATAATATGTTCAAGCACTTCGCAAGAAGAAGACGTTATAGAAATTGAACGGTAGTTTGGCACCAGATCTTTATCACCCTTTTTGTGCACTGGAGCAATGCGTCCAACTTTCCAGTCAAGAGGCAAGCGGCCGGAACGGATGGAAGCGCGGAAAATGATTATAAGAAATTCCGATAGCATCTCGGCATATCGTCGTAAAAAAAGTGTTGGGAATTTGATCAGGACCGGTTGAAGTTTTAGTTTTCAAATTCTGGAGCAACGAAACAATACGGGGTAGAGATAAAATATCTGGATCTGGAACGCCGTCATTACTTCGAGAAAAGCGGTGCAGTGGCTCGTTAGAGGCTGAAAAAAACGTTATGGAAGTACAAAAGGAAATGATTGGCAATACTTTTCTTGTGGACAATAGTTTCTCCTTCATGTGTTATTTGCTCAACACAGTTGGTCTTTTTGCTGAAAAAGTTCCAAAAATTTTGCGGGGCAGGCGTAATAAAGTTGGGCAGAGTATCCTGAAAGTATCTACACTTAGCTATCCTCAGAGCCTCGTTCAGTGTGTCCTGAGCAGAAAGAGTAATATTGCGTGGAGCAGCCTTGCCTTTAAGCCGCTGTAGTTTCCTTTCATGTGCAAGACATCTCGCATGATCCAAGGCTTTGATCCAAGGGTCCAGGAGAGTCCGGACTTGTGTTCAGGCTTGCAAGGGCTCCAGTGCGACCCCTTGCGAGGGTCGCACTGGAGATTTACCTTTAGCACATTACATAATTGACTCGACAGTTAAGTATAGCACAATCAACTTTTTAAAAGACTTTTTATCTTCTGCTGCGTACCAGTGTTAAATTCCCTTCAGCTGTGTGAACAGCAGTGTGACAGCATGCACGTTTTTTTTTTAATTTTATTTGAAAGCACAATTTAATTTTTATATAAATAAAAATACAACCCTTTTTAAAAATGCGAACTGGACACCGTGGCCTGATATGTGTCACCCCTTGAGATTTTTCTCGATTTACGCCACTGAGTAGCTTACTGGGATGATATTGTATACAGCTTGCTTACAATTTCGCTTAGGCTCACACGATGGTCCCTTGGTTCAACTTCATTCTTTTTAGTTTGTCAACACTTTTGGAGCAAGTTTGGAGCAGTTACTAGCAAATATTGCACTTTGAAGCAGCACAGAGCACCACTTCCTTCTCTGCAGTTACAGTTTAGAGGGCTTTGCGGAGTAGCGTGATCTAAACACGCATGTGTCATACGCTAAATGACACGTAGCCTTAAGGGTGCACCCACTATCTATCAGATAAAGCATTACCAACTTTTGTTGGTTGACGTAGTACAGTACGGTGGTTTTGAGTGCCCTTCAAGTAACCACGGATATCCGGTAGGCCGACGACGGGACGTACATTTTGGATGTTCCAAACTTCCATCAGATGTCCACGAATGTACACAGTACGTATGATGGACGTACATCAGATGTACAAAGGTAACAACTTTGTACATTCGCTCGTCATCCATCTAGGACAGCCAACACAGATGTTGACAGGCCGTTGAAGAATATACATATATACATATACACACATCAATGCCATCTGACTGCGGGATGTTCGTGTATAGTGACACTACATCTATTGTCACAAAAATACCAACGTTAGGAACGTTGAGTCCAGTGGTTTCACGGAGAAAGTGGTTAGTGTCCAAGCGTCGCAAGCTAGAGCAGGATGGGGTAACTGTGACCATTACTACACATGCACCTATAGTGGCG